GAAAGGGCGAGCATGTTTGGTGGTATGCGGATTCGAACCCGCGACCCTCAGATTGTGAGTCGAGCGCCTTATCCACCTGGCCATGCCGGGCTCGCATACGTTTCAACCAATTTATATTACAATATTTACTATTCTCAGCTTATCAGATACAGTAGAATGTTTACTCAACATTGCTTGACTTCTTGGATTAAGCTCGTAAATTCACTTTCATTTGTCACAAACGAGCTTTCTCCGTATCATTAAAAAAAAAGAAGAAGAAATTTATTAAATTCTATGGAAATTAAAAAATATTATTGCTACTGATTGTGGGTTTAGAGATGCTACAGAATATTCAAATATTTTTTTAAATGTTCAAGTCTACAGTTAGTTCTTTTTGAAATTGTTTAGGGTGATTTAGTGTACCGCTTTAGTGTATTGACTGTTTATTGGTTTTACTTCCCGTTAATTTAATGTCTTACTATGTATAGTTTAACTAGCTATATAACTGTTCCACATATAGTAATGACATTATGTCATTAGTCAAGTTACACTAGTTTGTTTGTTTGTTTTGAATTTCGCGCAAAGCTACACGAGGGCTATCTGCGCTAGCCGTCCCTAATTTAGCAGTGTAAGACTAGAGGGAAGGCAGCTAGTCATCACCACCCACCGCCAACTCTTGGGCTACTCTTTTACCAACGAATAGTAGGATTGACCGTCACATTATAACGCCCCCACGGCTGAAAGGGCGAGCATGTTTGGTGGGACGGGGATTCGAACCCGCGACCCGCAGGTTGCGAGTCGAGCGCCCTAGCCACCTGGCCATGGCAAGTTACACTAGTGTTTGCCACATTTACGATTGTTGAACTCTCCTAAGTTTTATTATTGTTATTATGGAACTTTCTCCAGACTTCTCACCTTTAAATTTCGGCTTTTACAAATAATAATAATAATAAGTATTGCTTCCTGTTGCCTGCTCCGTTTATTTTATTACAAATGGCAGAGCTTAACTAAAGTGAAAGTAGTTGTGTTGGACACACCACAAAGTATGTTCAACATATTATTTTCTTTCTATTAGGTTTAACATTATTACATTTTCATTAAAAACAACCAAACAATATTATATTATATATTATTTTATATCTTCATAAATATTAGTTTTTGGCTGTATTTCTGGTCAATTCCTGCCACTTGACTTCAAACATAAATAATCGTAGTAATTTATGACAAACACCACAATCCTCTAAAGTTGCACTGTCGTAGATATTTAATGGGTTCTCATTGGTCACAAGATGTTTATACAGAGGGTTGTAGAAAGTTTTCCTTATACGTGGTTATGCGGTCATACCTTGTTCATGGACATCAAATGTGTTTCATAAGGTATGTTATATTCTTTATTTATTGCTACTTTCTTTTTCTTGTTTTGTTAGTGCACAGTTACAACATGGGCTACCTGCATTCTGTCCACCATGTGGAAATCGCTACATTCACTGCAGAGAAATCGAACTCGAATTTTAGCATTGTAAATCTTTAAACTTACTGTTTACCCACCAAGGACTTGTTGCTTTCATTAACAGTATTGTATAGAATGTTTAACATATCTAATTCTATTACTTTTTAAATTTATTTTTATCGTACACATTGTTTGCTTTGTTAAGTATTATATAAAATTATCCATAATGACAGCAGAACCCGACTAGGAAAAATTATAAGACTTCTTTTATTAAAGGTATTTGAACTTGTATTCGTTTTGTGTGAAAGTGAACAGGTTAGACAAACTTTTGATAAAACAAACAAAAATATTTATTCACACACAAAAAAGGCGTACCCATGTGCTACGACAGACAGCTCTCATTCAAAGTTATGCATCAGTTAATCTTGAAGTCTTCCTTTTCACAAGATAGATAACCTCAGCATTAAACACTGAACAAACTAAACGGTCTTTTTTCTGCAAAAGCTGGGAGCAAACTGATGCAAAGAAAGTGCCTAAATTCCAAACTCCAACTTGCTTTCTTTGTGCAGTTGACAGTTTCACATCAATACCTTTGTTCCCTGTCAACATTGGTCAGCTATCAAATTTAGTTCACGTCATACTTTGGCTAGCAAAGGATATTCAGTTCTGTTCTAGCTAGTTTTAACCCAGGATAAAATAATCTGACATGCCCTTGTGGGCAGTATGTGTGTGTGTGTTATATAACAAAACCACATTGGGCTATCTGCCGTGCCACCGCGAGCAGTCGAACAACAGAATTTAGCATTGCAAGTCCTTAAACGTATCTTGTGTTAAGAAGACGTCATCTAACAAGAACAAAAGGATGAGGTGGCTAAAACAAGACAATACTAACCCTTTAGCTATGGGCAGGTCAAAGGGCGCAAGGTATTACATCTTAGTTATTTTAAAAAATTAATTAAACTTGTCATTGTATGGCAATAAAATTGGCATCACAACGTAGTTTGTAAATACAATTTTAGCACTATATATATATATATATATATGGACACACACACACATGTTTTAACTTTTTAATTCGAAAGAAAGTATAAATAATGCCAAATATGCTTTTTTGTGTATCATATGGCATGTCTTCTTGTTTTATTGCTCGGTTTATATTTTATTATGCCTACCATATAGCGTCTATAGTGGCTGACGAATAACAACTAAAATTTCAGATATTTTCACGCTAAAATGTAAAATAAGAACCTCCCACCTTTTTGTTTTGCTGAGATAAATATATTTTGGAAACGTACCAGAATATCCCCGCCCACTACTCTTGGTTTTTAAAAACCTCTTGTCTGCACAACTTTATACCCAATAGAAAAAAAACACATTCCAAACTATATAAATTTGACCGTCGTTGGTAACTGATTTTAAGTGAAAACTTGCAACTTCACTGGAGATGTTGAAGTCAGTTGACTAAGTCATTGCTCTGAAGAAAAATGAGGTTATTAATCCATATATATATATATCTTAATTAGAAAGCCAGACAATGATTTTGTGTGTACCAATACTGTAATTTAATATATATTTTTTGGTTTTCTAAAATGCACTTTTGAAATTTAAAAAAAAATCAATTTTTCCTCTCCCTCCACTTCAAAGAATACACGAGACTTACACCAATTATTAGCATGTACGACGTGGGAGTGCAAATCAATTTCGTAACATCATAACTATTATAAATCAGTTTTCTAAATATTTTTAATTCATTGTTCAATGTTTTAAGAAATATAGCTAAACATTAAGCATTTATGAGTAAATAGTAATAACAACATATATCTATGTGTGTGTGTGTTTATAAGTGCTTACACACTTTGCACGTCTATACCATTAAATTCCACTCTGAGGTGATAACTAACATCCAAAATCCAAATGCCTATCAAGTTTATTGAATCGGCCCAGACTTTGTACAGAGTCATTTCGTGAACTTTTTCTTGCACTTTTATTAATTTAGACATTGTGTTCTTGGAGTCAGGATTACGATAAATTCCGTGGGAATCTCGGCTTATTGTGCCGTATATGCTTGTTTGCTATCGACGGTGTAGTATTACGATACCACTTAAACAGTTTTAATGGTAGGAGCGTTTATTCATTGTTTTATGGTTAGTAACTTTCTTCTTCAGCCCATAACGGTAAGATAAACACAAGAAATAGTTTTGTTTATTTGTAATAGAGCGAAACCACATTGGGTTATCTGCTGTGTCCACCGCGGGGATTAGAACCCCAGATTTAGCATTATAAGTCTACAAACTTAGCACTATGCCACTTGAGAACCTCAGAAAACAGATGTGAAAAGGTTAGAAGCAGAAAATCGCAAAGTACTTTTGGAATTTCGTGGTCAATACTAAAAAGGATAGAACATCAGTAATAATTATACTTAGCCTTTATTTTATGATGGTTACGAGTTCGGTCAAATTGACTGAATGGGAATAGAGTTATGGTAGAGAAAATAAGATATAAAATTAAACTTTTCTGACAAAACGTTTGATGTTTATTTAGGAGGTTTTTACAGATCACGCAAATGAAATCTGAAATTCTTGATGAAGAAAAGTATTTTTAATCTTAACATGAAAATAACTTTGCACTAGGAGCAGTCACTCTGATTCCATATACATATTCACGGAATTTTTTTTTAATAAATATACTTGCCAAGTAGCATAGCGGTATGTCTGCGGACTTACAACTCTAGAATCCGGGTTTCGATATCCATGGTGAAGATCACAGATAGCCCATACTGTAGCTTTCTCCTTATTTACAAACAAATATACTTAATTAAAGATTCCGAGTTTTTGTCTACAAAAGCCTATTAATGTTTATTAAAAGCTTGAATATTTTCGTGAAAATACACAAAACATGTTAAAAGTTATACTATAATAACTCTGATGGTCACTTTGAGGTTAAGCTATCGATGTAATCTACAGAGGCAGTAGCGAATACGTTTTAAAATCCCTGGATTATGTGTTGCCGTCATAACAATAACAGTGCAGAAACTAAATAATCAATCATTTACAAAACATACTACGTCACTATAAATGGTAAGAGATGTGCTATGTCTGCATATCACAAAATATATCTATTTTGGGTTAACCTAAATCTAAACCGGTCGAACTTCTTCAGATATTACTAGGATTGCCAACAATAATATTGTTAGTCTAATGAAACAATGTATTATAATCTTCTTACGTATGAACATAAGAAACTATACTTGTTATCTGGTTGATTTTCAGTTTTGCTGTAAGTAGCTAGCCTGCTGTGATCGAAAATTAATAATAACTATTATTACTATGAGCAAAACCCATCTGTGTAATTTTAAATTTAAGCAAATATGAATGACGAACTGTCGAAAATTACAAAGTAGCTATAGCACACACAAAAGCTTGTTAATTGTAAATAGTACACAGTCAGTTTGTCAGAATTTAGTTATATATATGTGTGTGTGTGTGTGTATTTAACTTTCCTTTTTGCCAATTGTCAAATAGAAAGGCTTTTGATTACTTAATAGTATAAACATATACTAAATTAATATTGTTACATTTCCGTTCGTTAGTTAATTTTCCGTAAATTCGTTCCGACGAAACTTTAGCGACACAAGGCCTTTCTTAAATAAAATTGGTTTATTCTTTCCGAATACAACTTTACGATACACTTAATTTCAACAGTCGCTCTATAACAAACTCTGTAACGAACTTCTCTCGTGCTTGTCTTCAACAATTCTCAGTTCAATT